TAGCCCCAGTGCCAGCTCCAATGCCGCCTGCAACTGCAGCCCCAGTCCCGGCCCCCATGCTGGCTGCAATCCCAGTCCTAGCTCCAGTGCCAACTCCGATGCTGGCTGCAACCGCAGCCCCAATCCCAGCCCTGATGCCGGCTGCAATCCCAGTCTCAGCCCAATGCCAGCCCCGATGCGGGCTGCAGTCCCAGTCCCAGCCCCAATCCCAGTCCCAGCCCCGATGCCAGCTGCAATGCTGGCTGCAATCCCAGATCCCAGTCCCAGTCCTGATGCCAGCCCCGATGCCCCAGTGCCCGGCCCCAGAGCTTGCCCCCAAACCTGGTCCCGCTGCGGGTCCCGATGCCCAGCCTGGCCCCCGGTCCTGGTGCTCGGCCCTGGTGCCCACCCACGCCCCGTACGGCAGCGGAGCCCGGCACGGCGCGGCGGCAGCCCAACAAACCAGCCGGGCAGGCACAGGCAGGGACACGCTCGCCTGCCTCACCTCGCCTTTCCTGGCCGGCGCCCAGGGCCGGGCTCCGTGAGGACTCGGGGTCCTCAGCACCCCATCCCTGATGGAGCACCCCAACAAGTGGGGAAACTGAGGCACGGCTCCGTGCCACTGCAGAGGGAGGCATTTGGGGGGACACGTCCCAAAAGAGGGGTCAACCGCAAAGTACTGCCTCCGCCGCGGCCCTTCTGCCTGGAGAAGCCGTGCCTCAGTCTCCCCTCGCCGCTCGGCGGGGCAGGGCGGGGGTCGCATCCCCCCAGCTCCCCCGGAGCCGCTCGCCACCCCCCAGGTCGAGAGCTGGAACAAGCAGGACCAGAAGCTTTTGGAGGCGGTGGAGAAGGGCAACGTGGGCAGGGTGTCTGCCCTCGCCTCCCGCAAAACGGCCCGGCCCGCCAAGCTCAACGCCGTGGGGCAATCCGCGTACGTCAGCCCCGGGGCGGGGGGGACACGCGGGGGTCCCCAGGGTGGTGGATGGGGACCTCGGTTGCAGCCACCTCTCACCCTCCTCCAGCTTCCACCTGGCCGCATCCAGGGGCCTCACCGAGTGCCTGACGCTGCTGCTGGCCCACGGGGCCCCCGTTAACGAGAAGAACGATGACGGTAAGTGGGGGACACCGGTGGGGACGTCCCCTGGCACGGGGGGACACAGCCACAGGGTCCGGTCCCCGTGTCCCCTCCGGGTGATGGCGAGGGGCTGAGCATTCCCCAGACCTGCACCCCAAGGCACCGAGCCCCGGGGGAGCGCCCTGTCCTGCCGTGCCGGGACAAGATGTCCCCAAGGCGAGATGTCCCCTGGGGGGTTCCCTGCTGGCCGTGTCCCTGGTGTCCCCCTCGGCTGCTGGTGGCCCAGCCCGCAGGTCTCTTGCAGGCAGCACCGCTCTGCATCTGGCCACCATCGCCTGCCAGCCCCAGTGCGTCAAGGTCCTGCTGCAGGTGCGAGCCGGGACGGGGATGGGGATGCAGAGCGGGATGAAGATGGAGCTGGGGATGGAGACAGGGATGGAGATACAAATAAGGATGGGGACAAGGACAGGGATGGGGATGCAGAGGGGGATGAGGATGGAGCTGAGGAGGGAGATAGGGATGGGGACAAGGATGGGGACGAGGATGGGGACGGGGATGGGGATGCAGAAGGGGATGAGGATGGAGCTGAGGAGGGAGACAGGGATAGGGATGGGGATAGGGATGGGGATAAGGATGGGGACAAGGACGGGGTGGGGATGGGGACAGGGGTGAGGATGAGGATGGGAACAGGGCTGGGGAGGGGCAGGGCAGGACGCCGGGTCCCCTCTGCAGCTCGGGGAGGGTCCATGCCCACTGTGCCCCCCCAGTACAGTGCCAATGAGAGCCACGTGGACGGGCAGAACCGAACCCCCCTGCACTGGGCTGGTGAGTGCTGGGGCCCCCGGCCAGGCTGGGACTGGGGGTGGCACTGAAGGCTCTGGGGGGCCCATCTGACCCCCCCCCAAGAGCCGGCCCCCCACGCTGACGCGGCCCCCGCAGCCTCCTCGGGCTGCGCCTCCAGCGTGCTGCTGCTCTGTGACCACGAGGCCCTCCTGGACGTCACCGACGCCGTGAGTGGGGAGCGGGGCGGGGTGGCAGGGGGTGGCAGGGGACGGCGGGGGCTGACAGGTGCCTCCGCGTCCCCCCAGCACGGGCAGACCCCCCTGATGCTGGCGGCGCGGGGGAACCACGCTGCCATCTGCGCCCAGCTCCTGCAGAGAGGGGCCGACCCCAACCTGGCCGACAAGGACAAGAAGTGAGTGGCCGTGGGGACAGGGGGACACTTGTAGGACAATTTGGGGGTGATGGGGCTGGGGGGCTCTCTGCTCTGCCCCCGTGCCCAGGGCGATGGCTCGATGGCTCTGCTCCATGGGGACCCTGGAGATGCCCTGTGCAGAGACAGCTCCGCTGCTGTCCCCTGTCCCCAAGGGACCCAGGTGTCCGTGGAAGGCCACCGCCGCAGAGAGCAGTCCCCGGGGAGAGGGGGGAAAGGGGTGGGGAGGGACCCGTACCACTGTGCTACCATGCCACCGTGCCACTGTACTACCGTGCCATCGTGCACTGTGCCATTGTGCCACCATGCCACCGTGCCACCATGCCACCGTGCCACCGCTCCCGCAGGACCGCCCTGATGCTGGCCTGCGAGCACGGCAGCCTGGAGTCGGCCGAGCTGCTGCTGAGCCACGGGGCGGCCATGGGGGACGAGGACCGCTGGCGCTACGCGGGACGGACCCCCAGCCGCGCGCTCCGGCGACTCCTGCGCAGCGCCCGCAGCGGGGGGAGAGGGGGTCCCCACCCCAC